TTTTAAATACCAGCAGGGTCACCTATGGTGACACTGTTCAGCTGAGCTTCCAGATGACGACAGACTAAGAAGAAAGTAAGGCGGACTACTTCCAAATATTTAGTCACTGAAAAGCTTATGTACAGCAGTGCTCCACTGTCAGCACAGAAATATTAAATATTTAAACATTATGAAGAGCAACAGAATATTGTCAGATATAGTGCCAGATAATGAGCCCCTCAAGTAGGAAGTCACTCAAAATATGACTGGAGAAGAGCTGCCTCCTCAAAGCAGAGTTAACGATAATGAGAAAATCACCAGACAATACAATTAATATCACATGCAAGTAAAATTTTCCTGATGATAAATTTAAAAAATGGCTTCAAAAGTACATTGACACAGAACTGCCAGAAGCTCAAGCCAGAATTCAGATGAGGACATGGAATGAGGGATATCAGTACTGACAACAGATGGATATTGGCTGAAAATACAGAATACCAGAATAAGGTTTACCTGTGCTTTATTGACTATGCAAAGGCTTTCAACTGTGTGGATCATGACAAGCTATAGATAACATTGCAAAAATGGGCACTTCAGAACACTTCATTGTACTCATGAGAAACTTTAACATAGACCAAGAGACAATCATTCAAACAGAACAAGTAGTCACTGAATAATTAAATATCAGGAAAGGTATGTACCAGCATTGTATTATTTCACCATACTTATTCAATCTGTACGCTTAGAAAATAATCTGAGAACCCAGATTATATGAAGAAAGTGGCATCAGAATTTGATGAAGACTCAACAAAACGTGTAATATGAAAAGGATACAACCTTGCTTGCTAAAATAAAAGAGAACTTCAAATATTTACTGATGAAGATCAACACACACACACTGATGTGGCTTGCAAATCAATATAAAGAAAACAAAAATCTTCACTGAAATAGAATCACAATAAATGGAGCAAAGATTGAAGTTGTCCAAAACTTCATTTTGCTTTGATCCACTATTGACACCCATGGAAGCTGCAGTCAAGAAATCGAACAACATGTTGCATTAGGTACGTCTGCTGTACATGACCTCTCTTAAGTGTTCAACAGCAAAGATGTCAGTTGAAGGACTGATATGTGCCTGACCCAAACCGTAATATTTTCAACAGCCTCATAAGAACGTGAAAGTCAAACAATTACTATGGAAGACCATAAAAGAAAGATGCATTTGAGCTATGCTGTTGGAAAAGAATATTAAAAGTACAGTGGAATGCCAGAACAACAAACACGTCTGTTTTGGAAGAAGTACAGCTTGAGCATTCTTTAGAAACAAGCATAATGAGACTTCATTATTCATACATCTAACAGTTTATCAGGTGGAGGGTCAGAGAAAAAGTCAGAAGACCTCCAATGAGATGGATTTGCACAGTGGCACCAGCAATGGGCTTAAGTGTAATGATAGTAAGGATGGCATAGGATTGGACAGAGTTTTGTTCTGTTGTGCATAGAATAACTATGAGTCAGAATTGACTTGATGGCATCTAACATCAACAACAGCAACACCAACAGCTTCTGCTAAACTGGGAATCACATGCTAATGACCAGTTTTCTAGAGCACACTGTTAGAGAAATCTGATGCATTTCTGAGGGGAAAACAGCATGCCACATAAATGCTTTACATAGTGGAATTCAAGTCCATTACCCAACCTACTTTCAGTGGGTCTCTAAATTTGTTCTTTTAATTCTCCTCTTCTATTTCAATATCCAATGATTTTGGTTGTTATCACAAAATACTTTCCTTAATTGTTCTAATTAAGGAAAGTATTTGCTGGCATTCTTGGTTGGCACAAGTGATTAAGCTGGTAACTAAAAGGTTGGAGTTCAAGTCCACTTAGGGACCTGAGAAGAAAAACCTGGTGATTTATTTCTGAAATACCAGCCATTAAGAACCCTATAGAGAAAATTTTTATTTTGGCACATGTTGGAACTGCCATTATTTGGAATTGACTCAACAGCAACTTGGTGCTTTTTGTCAATAGATTAACAAATATCACAATAACAAATAAAATAACTATTATAATCTTCCATACTCAGGCTTCTGACAAAGAATTCTGAATATTGCCATATAGAATTCTGGATATTTATATTATTTCTGAAGAACTCTGAGTTAGGTTAATATGAGATTTACTTGTAACTGCAAAGTTTCTGGCCTTCTTGTAAGAATTGGTGATGAATATGAACTTAGATTGCCAGATCAAAGTGCCCTTCCTATTACCATGTGATATGGCTCTGAATAGGACAGGACCAGGCATTCAGTTGATCAGTATCTGCCATCACTGGTATATTGAAAATGCCCACCTGAATTCAAACTCCAGTGTTTTTCCTTATCATCAAGGTCATATCTTTTCTGATTACATAGGGTAACATCTATCAGGTGACAGCATCAAAGCATGACTCACACTCAGGACTTGAGGTAAAAATAAGAAAATGATCCCTGAAAACTCAAGCTGCCATGGCTATTATGTTGATGAGATTCTCTTTTCTGTTAATACCTGAATATTAAAAGCTCACTCCCTAAAAATTTACAGAGTTCTGATGTGGCAATGTAGGACAAACACTGGACTGCTAACCACAATGTTGACAATTTAAACCAACCAGCTGCTCCTCAGAAACTCAATAATGGTTTCTATAAGTCCAGAAATGGAGTCCTGGTATGGCGCTGTGGGCTAATGTGCTGGACTACAAAGTTGTTTGAACCACAAGGTTGGTGGTTCAAGCTCACCAGCCGCTCCTTGGAAACTCTATACAGGGTTGCTATGATTCAGAAATGACTTTAAGGCATTTCACAACAACAATATGAATCAGAACTGACTCGATGGCACTTAATAGCAACAGCAAAAATTATATGTGGCACATTTTTTTCTAAAGTAGAGGCATGAGAAGAAGAATGATATACACAGCATCGTCTTTAAATCATTGAAGTAAAGAGGAGAACTTTGTTGGTGAATCATAAATGGATTTTTAGTATAAAAAAGGCACCGTCTAACAACACAGACACCCAAGTTGCTTAACAGGCACGTTCCTACAGTAGTAGGAAGAGGAGGAGTAGAAGTTTGCCAAGGCAGCTTTAAGAGGAAAAATGAAGCTTAAGCAAAGTACATCTAGACAACTCAAATGCCTTAATACTTGTGGGGTGCAAACTTTTAATCAATACAAACTGTCTCGTAAAGAGCCTGGCATTTGATGACCTTGTGAAGTATTTATCAGTTAAGTTATGAAGTTGCTTTTATAGTTAAAGTGCCGTCGAGTCAGTTCCATTGCATAGTGACCTTGTATTGGGTTTCTGAAGAGTGGCTGCTGGGTTTGAACCTCCAAACTTGCAGTTAACAGTTCAGTGCTTTTCTTACAGTGTCGCATCAGAAACCAAGTTATGAAGAACTTGCTATTGAAGTTGACCATGACAACTGGATTAGACAACAAGACCTAATCTTATTTTTAGAAAGTGCTTATCTTTTATATATCACACATTGTAAGTTAGGAAGAAAACACATATATACTCTTTGTTTAACTATCAGTTACATGTTTTATATAAAATGCATAGAAGAAAATCCTTACAATTTAAAATTTGAAGCTAATATGTTTTTAATTAGCACAGAATCACTTCTAGCTTTATTTTCCCTGTTAATTACCCACTTCTTTGGTATCCCAATGAGATCTGTCTCTCTTTTCCTTTCTCTCTTTTTAGGCAGATTATAGAAATAATTAATCCTTTGCTTCAACACTCATGGAAGCAGCAGTCAAGAAATCAAATGATGTATTGCATGCAAATCTTCTGTATAAGACCTCTTTAAAGTGCTCAAGAGCAAAGATGTCAGTTTGAGGATTAAGTTGTGCCTGACTCAAGCCATAGTGTTTTCAATAACCTCATATGCATGTGAAAGATGGATAATGAATAAAGAAGACCACAGAAGAATTGATGCATTTAAGCTGTGGTTTGGGGAGAGAATATTAAAAGTACCATGAACTGACAAAAGAAAAACAAATCTGTGTTGGAAGAAGTACAGCTAGAATGTTCCTTAGAAGC